TTCATGTACTCTGTAAACCAGATTATTTATGGAGGTCTGTGATTGAAAAATCCAGGCTGGTAAGCTTAGACATTCTTAGAGATTTGATCAGATAAGTTTCAATAAATATTAATCAATTGTCTGCTAGACCCAGGCATTTTTCACTTATTATGTTCTTTTTCTAGGTACTTTCACTTATTTATCCCAATGACTTAAAATAACTCTGGACAAATACTCTATTGAGGGTGGGTCAGCAATATCAGGCTGCTTCTATTTTGAATACAATTTAATGAATAGAGAAGTGATTCTTGAGTCTCTCTTCAGTGCCTAGGAAATGGGAAGTGCTTTAGAAAGGAAAAGAAGGCCTGAGCATCAAATATTCATGTCTATAATTTCAATCTTTAATTTTATATGTATAATTTATTTAGTTGATATTTTTTTCAAAGCTCTCAAAGCCGTAAGTGATTGCTAAGTGTTATTAGTATAAGTGATTATGTTGTTTCGCTAATGACAGAGTGATTTATGGTAAATCAGTTTGAGAGGAATCCTTTAAGAATCCATTTATCCTTGGAAGTTCTGCTTGGCCAAGCACACCGAGTCAGGGCTATATTTAAGTATGGAATTTGAGTTCTATGTGAGATGAATCCATAGTTCATCCCTGCTCTGTGAACATAGCTGGGCATGTCCCATGCATTTGGGCATCCTAGCCATCCAAGCTGGGCCAGGCGTGGCTTACCCCTGTCTCAGCCGATTCATACCACAGAGGTGATATGCGGCTAAACTGTCTCTGGAGGACAGTCAGGGGCTCTTCAAACCTAGAACAAGTTCTTTTTTTTTTTTTTTTTTATCTTTCCATACAGAAAGTAAAGAAAGCTGAAAAAATAGATTGAGAAAAATTTAGAGATCTTTTTTTTATAATTGAACAGGCCTATTTTTTTCTTCTTTTTTTCTAGGTTCATTTGTCTGCTGATGTTTCATTCTTGCAAGACAGACTAAAAGGTGACAAAGTGACAGAAATAGGAATAACATTTCTGAAAAAGCTAGACGAGAAAAAATATAGACGGAAAAAATGAAGAATAATGTGCAAAATGTGACAGAGTGGCTAGTTGAGGAGTGAATATTAGTGAAACACATACAGCTTCAGAAATTTTGAATTGCTTTATAGCATGAGCTTTGAAAGGCTTATAAATCAACCAGAAATTTAAAATGCAGAGCATGTGGATTTTCTTTTTCATATTTTCAACCTCACATTCATAGTATTTCATATACAGATAACTTTCTGCGATGAATTCTATATATTACACAATCCATCCTCAAGGAGTCTATTCATTTCATTAATAGGAGAAAAAAGGCACCATCTATAGAAACAGTGTATTATCTCTATTTAGTAGGACAATGGATGATTTGATAGAGCATAGAGTTCATTATAGAGAGACAGTTTCTAGGTATTGTATATTGCATTCTCCAGAGAAACAGTTCCAATTTTAACACTTTTCCATATTTTCGAGAAATTATGGATTTCATATTTCTTATATATTATCATATAGCTTTAACTTCCTGAAGCTACTCTTGAATTGTAACCACCAAAACAAGCTATTGATTTGTATGCCAATTCAGAATCATTTAAAAATAGCATTTAATTTTTTATTCACTTAGCTAGAATTAACAAAACCCCTTCATTTTTTTTTTCATGTACTAATGACAACCAGTGAGGAAATCTCTAAAAATGAATGGTAAATAATGTTCTTTGAAGAACACTTTCTAACTCCAAAGTTTATTTACTTTGAATTTTTACTATCATTTTTAATCCCCTAAAAATCTTCCAAAGAATATTTTGTCTGTGGTCAGAACATATTTCAAATTCAAAATGAACCACATTATTAAATAGACAGTAATCTTTGCCAGACCATCAGTACACAAGAGCAGCCTTGAACACAGCCCAGAAATTAGTACTGCAGAGAACACAGAGTACAAGTAAAAGTTATAATTAGCAGGGCTCCATGAATTAAAACTTGGGTCTGGTAGTGATAGAGGTCAACTAGGGCTTGAGGAGCCTGATGATCCAATCCCAATTGTGTTTCCAGTGGCATCAGCTAATCCTGACTAGTGTGGCTCATCCTGGGCAACACACCTCTCTCCCTTTCCTCCCACCCTTTAAACATGAGGGGATTGGATATGATAAATATCTAAAAAAAAATATCAGTGTGTTTGAATGATAAAAATGACCACTGAAATTCCACATTTGGAGACATTAAAAGATCATAAGAAAATTGTTTATTCTTCATCTATCAGTTGTCTCTTTGAAGGCTATTGAGGTAGACCCAAAGGACCAGAGAGGGTCCCTGAGGCAGCTGCAGCATCATGGAAAGTCCTTCAGGTCTGTGGCACAGAAGATGAGTATCATCTGGAAGAAGATGTCAACTATCAGAAGGATATTATTTCACATATTTTAAGTTCATGCCTCCAACAGAATGCTC